CGACGATGACGATGATGATGATGATGATACCATGTCAAATATTGTAGCTCATTTTTTTTTTTTTTTTGTTAGCAATTTTTCTATCATTTACGTCTCAAAGACAACTAATTAAAATTAAACTGAACAAAAAATAAGGTAAAATATCTACTACAATGCTGATAGTGATAATGGTTCTGATTATGATTATGATGATGATGATAATGATGATGATGGTAACAACGATGACCATAACAATGATTATGATGATGACGATGCCAATGATCAAAAGAAAAAACTGATGATAAATCAAAAAATCATTTTCAAATTTAACAGCTTTTATTTGCTACCTCTAAGTGATGACATTTCATCAGTCAGTTTATCATTTATTTTTGCAAACATCACCTAAAAATCGTTGTTTAAAAAAAAAAAAAATGAAAAATTTACATTTTCTTTCTATGTAAATAACTGAAATTAGACACTTAGCAAACCAATAATTTTTCAGTATAATTTTTGAAGTCAATAAAATAGTTCAATTTTGTTAGTAACCATTTGATATCAATAGCCGTATTTTATACTAAACGGAAGTTAACTGTTTTCTCTAAAATTATACGGTTGAAATAACAACTGCAATAGTTACAGTAACAACAACAGCAGCAGCAGCAACAACAACAACAACAACAACAACAACAACACCAAAAGCAGTATCAGTAGCTGTAGCGTTAACAGCTCTAGAGCTAGCAGCAGAAGCAGAAACAGAAGCAGAAACAGTGGCAGAAGACAAAATTAACACGCAGACATGTAAGCCCATTATCCATGATTACCTTTCAAATGCGGAGAAAAGAAACTTCAGTTGAAAATTTTTGAATTAAAAACAACAGAAAACTAAAACGCATATATGTGCTCTTAAATGCTTTATGTTTAATGCAGGCAAAAAAAAAGATGTGAAAAGTAATAATAACAATAATAACGCCTAATAATATTGATAGAAAGAACAATGGTAGTGACAAATATCTAAGAAATCAATGAATTTAATGAGAAAAAAAAGGCTGAAAAGGCTGAGGAAAATAGAGCAGTAAATTGAACGATGTTATTTGAGTTGAAATTTGAAGAATAAAATATTCTTCCTTTTCTTTCTCTATTCTTACTCTTCATCTTAACCCTACCTCTGCATCTACGCTTATCCACACTTTAATTCCTACCTTTCCCGTTATCGTCAACTTATTCTCTACCTCCTCCCTTATCCCTCTTCCTTTTCCGCTTCCCTTTTTTGTCCTCCTTCCGTTCCAAATTTAACATCTTCTTGCAGTTAACCAAAATGTAACAAATTGCTACTGCAACTTATGTTTCAATCTTGAAATATTCATCAGCTATGGTTAACCACAGTCCCCCTACTTTTGTCACCACCACTGTTACCACTGTCACTACCATCATCATTACCATAGTCATCACCACCTCTATTGATGCTATGACAACAAAAAAGTAAAAACAAAAATTTTTTTCCTTTTTTCAAATACCGAAAAAAAAAGTGTATTTGTATGAAGTAAAATACAAATAGAATTAGAAAAAAAAATGTAAGTTGCGTGTTAAAAAACAAAACTGTGGTTTTTTGTCTTCAAAAACTTTAAAAAATGCGAACACTCTATATTCAGAAGAAATGCCGCTTTATAAATGATACACAAATACCACTGAATAAGTAAATAAGTAATTCAGTAGTTGCATAAGCAGAAAAAGCAGAGTTGCACAAAATACAACAGAAACATACACAAGATTAAATTAACAAAGATTTAATATCTGTTTGAAAGATAAAAAGTAACTAAAAAACTAGAATGAAGAGTTAATTGAGATGTTTGTAGTAAGAAAATTTTTGGATAACTACCGCATCTCCTGTTCCTACTGCTGCTACTTCTGGCATTCCTACATTTACCACTGCTCTTGTCGTTATTGTTGTCGTTGCTGTTGTTGTTGTCGGTATACTTTTCCCTTTTACATCCATCTATCCGTCCATCCAACTATCCTTACATCTATCTATTTAACTATCTATCTATTCATTTATCTAACCATTTATTCATCAATCTATTTGTCTATCTATCGATCTATCAACCAACCATTCAAGCAACCAGGCAGCCACCCAGGTTCATAAAATAGATAAGAAGGTATTGGGAATAAAAAATATGGAACTACAATTGGCTGACTGGTACAGTAATCCAAAATTAGTCAAACAAATGAGTACCAAAAGACGGGACATGAAAGATAGAAATTTATTAGGATAAGAATTAACAAGTTGTCAGAAAACCATGACTGGCCACTTTCAGAGTTCAGATGGTAAATATTGTCCTTTTTTTTATGAAACTACAAAAACCAAACAAGACAGCATTTTTTTCATCTTTAAATACTGTCTTTGTTTTATTTTAAAAATCGCCTTTCTCCTTCTTTGAGCATAACCAAAGAACCGATGTTCTTCCCTAAATCAATTTTTTCAAAAAATTTGAACCGGAAAAAAACAACAATCGTACGAAAATATGGAACAAAAATAAGAAAAAGAAAAGAAAAGTTTTTTTGCCATGTTTTGTTCGCTTGTTTCCCCTCTCTTAGTTTTTTCACTTCCAATAAAGCTAAGCAGAACAAAAAAAAAAAGCAAAAAAAGGGGCAATTTCACTTTTTAAGTAATTTAAGATATATGAGAAAAACTAGCAGATATTCGTAACGACGACATCAATGAACAAATTAGTCTGAAACTTTTTCTAATTAGTGCCAAAAAAAAGAAGGAAAAAAAAACGGGATAAAATAAAGCGGAAAAACAGAGGAGAAAAAAATTGCATCGCATTATTGAACCAAATCCAGCAATGACTTTTTTCACCGCTTCTTTTTTTTTTCGTTCACTTCTCCTCCTTTTTTTACTTCCTTTTTTTTTACTGGAATTAAAATAGTAATTGAGATAAAAAACAGCATAAAAGAAGAGGAAGAAAAAAATGACTAAAAAAAATCAATTAAAATAGAAGCTTGATTAACAGCAGCAGCAACAACAACAACGATGATGATGAGGATGACGATGCTACTGATGATTTTGGTAACGACGACGACAAAGTATCGACAGAAGTACTTTGAACGAAAAAAAAAAGAAGGAAAAGGAACAGCAAACGACAGTCAAAATAGCGGTAATAAAGTGAAAAGAATCTGTGGAATCAAACTTGCTTCTGTTTACCTTAATAAACGATGAAGCCGGTGGTTGATAAGGATCCAAACAATAATATGCCTTAATAATGTTCACAGTCATATACCGGCGATACAGCGATATTGTTAAATTCAATTTGCCTTTACAGCCCAATTTACGGGCCATAGCACCTGGTAATCCGATATGTTCTGGCTTCCAACTGGTACCATAGTTGAACAACGGATACTCGGAACGTGGACGTACAGCAGCTGTTGTCGTACTCGCTGTCGACGATGTTGTGCCCCAAAGTTTTGGTGACTGCAAATATATTCCACAATAAACATACTTCAACTTTATATACATTGAGCTTTTTTTCCCTTCTTTTTTTTTCATTTTTGTTTTTGTTTTTGTTTCTGCTACTTCATGCCCGTTACTTTCATTGGTGTATGTGTGCGCAAATTGTCACCAAAAAAAGAACAGGAGAAGAAGAAAAAAAAAAAGAAGGAAGACTTGCTAAACTAAATTATGCTTTTTCTTTTTTAAACAGACGTTAAATTAGTGAGAAAAAAAAGCAAAGAACTGAGGCGAAAGCAAAAGCAAAAGCAAAAAAAAAAAAAAAAAAA